TGTGTTATCTTATTTTCTTCTTACCACTCTTGTTAACCCAAGTAGCTGATCCTCATCAATATGGTACAGTTAACCACACCCTAACCCAATCCTTCTTTCTAAGCCTAAACACTATTGTGAGAGTTGTGAGGCCTTGCACTGCATTATTTTTGATTTTATCTTGGCAAAAAGTGTTCGGAATAAAGCTTGTATCTTAAGCTTGGTTTTAGTTTAGGAGTTTGGGAAAGGATAGCATAAGAGGTTTGAGATTTACTGTTTTATCTTTTAAAAATAAAAGAAAGAAGTGTGGAATGGTAGTAAGGGGGAACAAGTTAGAATTGTGGTTAAGTACAAAAGGGATAAAAGCTCTAAGTGTTTAAAGAAGGAAGGCGCCAGCAGAAAAGCTATGAAAAGAGGTCCATCAAAAGAAGAAATCAAACCCAAGGCAATCCACCATAGGTGAAGAATGGTGCCTAATCAACAAAAAGGAGCAAGTCCCAACAAAAAGAAGCAACCACACAAGCAAAGAAAAGAAGTTTCCCCCAGCCATGAAGACGAAGAAGGGTTAGAGTTTAGGAAAGGGGTAGACTTAGAGTTTCATTTTGGGGTTTAGAAGTTAATAGGTTCATCTTTGGGTAGAGGGTATAAGAGAGATTTGACTTGCATGCATAAGTGTGCTTTTGCCTTTAGCATTTTGCCTAAGATAGAGTTATTTCATTGAGTGATCCCAGTTGTCTTTGACCCATATCTGAATGAGATCATTTTCATCTTATGACCATGTCCCTTTAACCAAATGTGTTCACTTGACTTGCATAAATTTGATCAATTGGTTACCATTAATGAATGTTAAAGAGTTGGCTGATTTGAATGCTTGTGTATGCTAAGCTAGAGTGCATTGTCTGCTATGATAGGTATAGCTAAAGCTTTTGAAGTAGAACAATCTCTTTGCATCTTAGAACCTATAACTTGAGCATTGATTCAATTTTTCCATTGGCATCTTTAGTTTTGAGCTCCCACTTTCAAACCTCACTCTCTCATATGTTCTTATTTGCTTGAGGACAAACAAAAGGCAAGTGTGGGGGTGTTGATATTTCATACATTTACATCATTTAGGCTTGCATTTAGTTCATGTTTTGGTTCTCTTTTGCATGTTTTCCTTCTCTTTTGTCCCATTTTCCTTTCCTTTTAGGTTTAGGTTGCATTTAGGTTGTAGTTTGCGTTCTATATGCATTAAGGATGTTTTTAGGTACTTAAGAAGCTGAAAGGAGCAAGGAGGAAGTGTGGGAATGGTTCAAGAGGCTAGCCAAGATGAGAGGGAGCAAAAGAAGCTGAGGAAGGCTTTTTCTGGAAAGCTATCGATCAAGACTTGAAGACCATCGATCAAGAAGTAACTGATGGTAATGCAGCGAGTATACCATCGATCACATTGCTCAGGACCATCGTCCAGGAAGTGATCGATGGGATCCCAGCGAGCAAACCATCGATCACATTCCTCAGGACCATCGGTCAGGAAGTGATCGATGGGATCCCATCGAGCATACCATCGATCAAGGCTGCAAGACCATCGCTCAAGAATGTGATCAATGGGATCCCAGACTGAAGACCTTTTATTTACAATTTTGCCTAGACTCATATACATACGAAAAATCTCTAATTTTTGGGATCATCTCTTTATCCAACAGTTCTTTCCTCTCTTGATTTTGATTTCAATCTTGTAGTTTGAATCTTTGCTTGATTTCAATAAAAGTTTGCTTTTATCTTCTTGTTTAATCTCCTTAATCCTAATTAGCTATCTTTTTCTCTTTGGATTGATGGTTTTAATGGTGATTAGTGAGTAGTCTTTCTAGGGGATTGAGATGAGTTAGGTTTAGGGAACTTTAGGCTTAATCTATGATGTCTTAGTGTTAATTCTTCCATTCTCTTTCTTAATTGTTGTGTTTAATGCCTGATTGCTCTAGCTAAGTTGATTAGGATTTTAGGCTCATTTTATGCCACCAAGTGTTTGATGAAATGTTTGAACTGCTTTGCAAGAGAATTGTTTATCCTAGCTCAAGAGATTGACTGTCTAGGGAGTGATTTGGCAATATAGGATTGATAGATTGTCTTAATGCTTGTTGTTTATCATTTCACTAATGAGAATTAGTTTTTGACTTGGTAATTAGCAAAGAGATTAGTGACAAGATATTGTATTAGTCTTATAAATGAATTATATGCATAAAAAATAGCATTGTGTGAGTTTGTAAGCATCATAGGTTTAGTTAAAAGTTCCCTAGCACCATTTATCTCATCTCAAGTCCCATATTTTCTCTGTTTTTAGTTGAATTCAAATTTGCTCTGTTTTTTGCCTTTGTTTAGACAACTCTTGCTTGCTGTTCACTCTTTGTTTTGATGTTGTTTCATTTCTACTTGATCACTTAGGTTGGTAGACACTTCAACTTGCCTATATTTGCTTGAATTAAGAGCTCTATTGTATTTCTAATGCTTCATTCTCCTATTTTGGATTGATAAAACCTATTATATATACAAGCAGGATGATTGACCAAGAGAGTCAAAACTCTTGTATCAGGAAACTCTACACCAAGGAAAATATCCGATCACTCACCAGATTCTCACGGACGATCTGAAGTGCTCTCGGGTAACTCTCAATTCACTCGGGTGTTTGCTTATTTCTCTCGGCTAAAATCTCTCTCTCACGGTAAAACCCTTAGATTATAAGCGGCTCCTGAAAAAATAATTAATATTTCCCTTTTTATCCGAGCCAAACCCTAATTATCCACCCTTAGCCAAATAAATCCTACACCGACTAGGAAAAATCTAATTCCTTCAGATTTAACAAACAGCCCACGAGCCTAGCCTATTATTCCATCGGCTATTTCCTTTTCTCTCGGCCAAACCGCCTTTACCCGAGTTATTTTCCCTTTGGTCCAGTTAATTCTCATTCTCTCTCGGATAAACTGAACTACCTCGGCTAAATTTCTATTTTTCTCTCGGAGACTTTTCTTTTCTCCCGGGCACAGTCCACTCTTACTCGGACTAACTCTACTATCACTCAGAATAAGCTCATTTTCTCACGAACTGGACCATTTTTCTCTCGGATATGGTCCATCCGGCTCGGCTATCCTAGCTATCCATCCGACTATTTCCCAGGCATCACCTGACCATAGTCTTAACCTCGATTTCCCAACCAATATCCGACCATTGACTCGATCATCCCTCAGACAATGTTCTGTTTGCCTCGATCATTTCTAATTTCCTCAGATATGGATGCTACAGTTTGTGTGGCTAATTTTTTAATTGCAAACTTACTGCAAGTGGTTTGGTCAAATGCTTAGTATGGTTGCGAACTAAGTTGGTTTACTCTTACCAGTAAAATAAAGTTCTTTTTGTGAAAGTGACACATGGCATGCTGATAGGTGTCACATGGCAGCCTATCATAGCTGCTGTAGAAAAAAAAACTCTTTTATTATTAGAATAAATATATATTTACATAATTTAATTATAATTTCACAATTTATAATTCTGAGCAATATATAATTGTCAAATGGTATAGATGTGATATCTTTATCAAATATTATAGATATGATATCTTTATCAAGACACAATGTGACTGAAAGTGTGTTTGTTGGTAATTATACCTTTTGGTTTCATTTTTGACACAAATGGTTATGTAGATGTAAGTTTTTAGAACAGAGCAAATATTGTATATGAAAACTCAAAATTTGGATAATATATATAAACTTAAAATTTGTATTATTGTCCTCCCCCACATGAGTATATGATTAGTTATTAACGAAGGCCCGTTCTCGAAAAAAAAAAAAAGATCGCAAAGCATACTTGTATTTCTATCTGATTTGTATACAATTACATGCAACTGACTTGGAAAAAGACGGTGATAGTCGTCATCAAAAAAGAAAAAAAAAAGACGGTGACAGTCAACAAGTTATACTATAAAGTATAAAGTATAAACCTGGGCATATGGCCCACTTGAAGGCCCATATACAATTCTCTTTTGGACTTTTTTAACTGACACGTGCAAAAGGATCCCGCGTGCAACAAATGCTTTTCATTTCGAAAACTGTTCACTCTCTCGTCATTATTGTTAGGAGTGGGTGCGGATCGAATATCCGGGAATTTTTTAGTATTTGTGGTTTGCTCCGTTTTTAACAGATATTTAATTTTATGATTTGATTTGCTCTGGAAATATACGGATATCCGGATTTATATCCGGAAAATTTACAAATATTTGTGGATATTTGCGGATATTTAGGAATATTTATGAATATTTAGTTTGATCTGTTTAATATACACAAAACTGAAAGTACATCAATTTTTATTATTAAAAAAAATTTATCTAAACTATTAAGTGAAAATAACTAAAAGAAACTATTTTATTTTATAAAAAAAATCTATAAAAAATAAACCTACAAAATTAAGATGAGAAAAAATGATATTTTATATTTAAAAATAAAATTAACTATTTGAAACTTTAATATTAAACTTTACTAAAAAAATTTTGTTGATATTTATTTAATAATATAAAATAAAATTTTATTTATTAACATATTTTAAGTTTAAACATATTATTTATTTTTTATAATTGGTTATTTAGTCATTTATTTTATATAATCAAAAGAACAGTTGAAAATTTAGGAAAAAAATTGAGAATATATTAATAAAAATTTATAATATAATTGATATATATATGATAATATATAATAAATTTATAAAAATACGGATCGGATCAGATATCCGGCGTTATCTAAAAAACATATTTGTGATTTCCTCTATTTTGTATGGATACTACATTTTGCTATTTGCTTTGCTCCGAAGCTTTACGGATATCCGGATTTTTCGAATCGGATCGAAGCAAATATCGGTTCGAAGCAGATACAACGGATATTTTGCCCACCCCATTTATTGTTACAGGTTTGTTTGGTCCGCGTGCAATAAAAAAATGAAACTGTTCACTCTCCGCGTGCAATAAATTTGGTCTTTATCTACATTCAATTTCTACTTCATAACGCATATAAAAAATATTTTTGTCCTATTAAACATAACTTCACTCAGGGAACTGGAGTAGACGAAAGTGAAATAATCATCTGGACCTTGAGATGGGAAAAGTCGTGGTAAGCATCCGAAAATGTTATCTAAAGATTTCTATTCCTCTGCATTTTTTATTTCTCTTCTCTTCACTTCATGTCTGTCTGTTTCAGGTAAAACCAGCTAACGCAGGATCAAGCATTGGTGTCAAGGTTGCTTTTGGTGTAAAAGATTCATTTACGAAGGCTATTAAACTTATTCAAGAGGTATATCCTTTGTTTTGAGACTTGGACAATTCGAGTAGGAACTTGGAAGTGAGGGAATTGAAATCTCTCTTTCTTAAAATAGAATATCTATTTACTTACAGGTGGTGTGTTTGTTTACTTCTGTTGTCTGACAGGGAATTGATGATAGGGTTGTTGTTGAGGTGTTTATTGAAAACGCTTATGAGTTTACTGCCATAGTCCTGGATGTGGGTTCTTCTGATTGTTTTCTGAGGTAATCACACATTTTTCACTGCCTTTATGAGTCACGGTTTCAGAGCTTGTGCCAGATTCCTTGTTTGTGTCTCAACTGATAGATGGACCATTTTCAGGTGAATCTTATGAGGTCAGGTGGAACTTAAGTTCCATGGCAGTGGTGATACGAAAGAAAACGCGATCTTCGACTACCGGAGAAAGTATCTGCCGACACAACAGGTACTGAAAGTAACATGATCCTTGCAATTTCTATCACTCATAAGGAAAAAATGATTTTGTATTTTAAAAAGCTAAACGTTGGGAATTTCATTTTCTTAGCTTTTTTCTCAGCATGTTTTGTTTCCCCTCACAATGCGTTTACCTAAAATAAACAACAGCAAAATTTAGGAAAAATATAAAAATAATCATTTCAAATGGTTGAAAAAATACTGATTTTACTATCTCCAAACTGACTCTTTCATGTTTTTAGCTAGCTTGAGGTCAAATATTTGATCACTTTCACCCCGCAAGAGATGTATCTTCTGCATGCACACGTAATAACTTAATTACTAGATAAAGTCAAAACAATAATCATTAAAAATAAATTACTAGATAAAGTCACCTATCATACTCCTCGTTTCCCTATAAATGTTATCAAAAGCATACGTGAAGAGGCAGCTCATCTGTTTTAAAAGCTAGGTCTACGTGATTTCGCTCGCTTTGATGGATGGTATTTGACTCAGGTCCGGCTGCTGAAAGTGCAAAAGCATAGGCCCTAATTATTTTTTTAAAAAAATTCTTATTAATTTAGGGCTCAAAATTTAGAATTTTATAAAATATGGTATAAATAAATAAATATTTTAAAATAGTGCAGGGTCCAAAAATTTTTTGACCCACTTTGAGTCAGGCTTGATTTGACTCCCAATTCAAGTTTAACATCATCTGGAAGTGAAACGCTTACAAGATCCAAGTCAGATGATATTATATTCACAAACCTAGTCTTTTTTCGCAAATACTTTTTCTAAGGTTAAAAAAGTAAACAATAAGATTTCTTCGCCTTCAATTAATTATCATATTCTTTTGCACAAAATATACTCAACGCAATGAACTAATTGTAGTATAGATTGCTAACATTCTTAATGTAAAATATACCCTTGTTAGCATGTGTTTCAGATCCATCTTTAGGAATCTGAAAGTCACTGTCTCCGAATATTTTATCTTCGAGTTTTAAGATACGTTCACATAGCCATTTTGTTTCTCTTTTACTTTTGTATTGTTCCACTTGGAGTTTAGTGACCACATGTTTCATGTTTGTTAGTTCTTCCCGTAGATCAAGAACGTTATGTAACCCATTTTTTTCTTGACCCTCATTTTGTACACGAAACCTCTGATATCGTAGATAAATGATCCTCTCAACTTTTGACAATTCTATGTATTCTGAATTCCAATCTTCCGGACTTAATATATACCCTCTAGTCACAAGGTCCACAAGTGCATTAAAATCATCATTGTATAGACTAACTAAGAGAGATGAGTCTTTGGGGCTTTTTAGTACACATGTTACTTTAAGACTCCATGAAGCTTCTGCATCTTCAATTTGTTTATAAGAAGGCAATGCTGTCCACGAGTACATTGTGCAGACGAACTCAGAACAAAGGATGTCCACTTTAGCAAACTTTTCTTCTAGCTCTGGCGCAGAAGCTAGCAGACACAAATGCAAGGCCATGGGAAATCCCCAAATAGTATATATTTCTATATCAAATGTCTTCCTCTTGGAATCTGAAGTTACCGACTATACGAAAAGGTCGAAAGCCTCATTCCCCCCCCCCCCCCCTATATTACCTTTTGCCCATTCCACATGTTTACGCGAAAATTTATGGACCGACTTATTGTTACGCCTTAGAAAAATACTCTTTATAATGACTAACATGGCCAATCTGAATTTACTTTCTTTTGCATCATCAGGAAGATCATTTAATTGACTTATCAAATCTTTCAGAGTGTGTGCCTCTTTTGCTGGTTGATAAAGCATTGGCCATGATAACTCCTCAGGCGCTGCTTCTACTTCTTTGTTGTCTGTTTCAACACAGGGTAGTCTCGTGACCGAATGAAATTCTCGTAATGATAATATCATTATTTGTGCAGCGAAATATAACCAGAGTTCATCGGGTCTTTCTGCTTTAATCTGCCGCCACATTAAATAGGTAACTAGTTTCTCCGAAAATAATAATCCCTTTCCGCAAATACTTTTTCTAAGGTTAAAAATGTATTTTCAGGGATTATGATTTTCGTGGAAACTAGTTACATATTTGTTGTGGCGTCGGATTAAAGCAGAAAGACCCAATCAACTTTGGTTATATTTTGCTGCACAAATAATGAAATTCTCACTTGGTCACAGGACTACATTGTATTGAAACAGGCAACAAAGAAGCAGAAGCAGCATCTGAGGAGTTATCGTGGCCAATGCTTTATCAACCAGCAAAAGAGGAACACATTCTCGAGGAATTGAACGATCTTCCTGATAATACAAAGGAAAGTAAATTCAGATTAGCCATGTTAGTCATTATTGAAAGTATTTTTCTAAGGCGCACCAATAAATCGACCTATAAATTTCCGTGTAAATATGTGGAGTGGGCGAAAGATAATATAACAGTTCATGCTTGGGGAGAAAGAGGCTTTCGACCTTCTCGTACAGTCGGCAACTTCAACTACCAAGAGGAAGATATTTGATATAGGAATATATACTATTTGAGATTTTCCATGGCCCTGCATGTGTGGCTACTAGCTTCTGCATTAGAGCTAGAAGAAAAGTTTGCTAGAGTGGACAACCCTTGTTCTGAGTTCATCTACACAAGGTACTCGTGGACAGCGTTGCCTTCTTATAAGCAAATTGAAGATGCAGAAACTTCACTGAGTCTTAAAGTAACATGTGTACTAAAAAGCCCCAAAGACTTATCTCTCATGGTTAGTCTGTACAATGATGCACTTGTGGATCTCGTGACTAGAGGGTACATATTAAGTCTGGAAGATTAGGATTGAAAATACATAGAATCGACAAAAGCTGAGAGGGTCATTTATCTATGATGGCTGAGGTTTCTTGTAGAAAATGAGAGTCAGGAAAAAATGGGTCACAGAACGTTCTTGATCTACAGGAAGAACTGACAAACGTGAAACATGTGGTCTCAGAACTCCAAGTGGAACAATACATAAATAAAGGAGAAACAAAATGGCTAGGTGAATGTATCTTAAAATTCAAAGAGAAAATATTCGGAGGCAGTGACTTTCAGATATCTTGAAAGCCACTGCCTCCGAATATTTTCTCTTCAAGTTTTAAGATATGTTCACGTAGCCATTTTGTTTCTCCTTTACTTATGTATTATTCCACTTGGAGTTCTGAAACCACATGTTTTATGTTTGCCAGTTCTTCCTGTAGATCAAAAATGTTCTATGACCCACCTTTTCTTGACTCTCATTTTGTACACGAAACCTTTGACATCGTAGAGAAATGACCCTCTCAGCTTTTGACAATTCTATGTATTTTGAGTCCTAATCTTCCAAACTTAATATGTACCCTCCAGTCACGAGGTCCATGAGTGCATCAAGATCGTCACTGTATAGACTAACCAAGAGAGATAAGTTTTTGGGACTTTTTAGTACACATGTTACTTTAAGACTCGGTGAAGCTTATGCGTCTTCAATTTGCTTATAAGATGGCAACGCTGTCCACGAAAACCTTGTGCAGATGAACTCAAAACAAAGGTTGTACATGCTTGTTTCAACACATGGTAGTCCCGTGACCAAATAAAATTCTCATAGTGAGAATTTTATTATTTACGCAGCAAAATATAACCAAAGTTCATCGGGTCTTTCTGCTTTAATCTGCCACCACAACAAATAGGTAACTAGATTCTCCGAAAATCCTTTGTAGACAATCTTTTAAAGCTAACCAAGAAAAAGATTTGGATTTTCATAGAGAAATTACCCTCTGAACTAGTTTACATTAAAGGTGTAAGCAATCTATACTAAACTTCTGACATCGTAGAGAAATGACCCTCTCAGCTTTTGACAATTCTATGTATTATGAATCCCAATCTTCCAGACTTAATTTGTACCCTCTAGTCATGAGGTCCACGAGTGCATCAAGATCATCATTGTATAGCTAACTAGAAGAGATAAGTTTTTGGGGCTTTTTAGTACACATGTTACTTTAAGACTCAGTGAAGCTTCTGCATTTTCAATTTGCTTATAAGATGGCAATGCTGTCCACGGGTATCTTGTGCAGATGAACTCAGAACTAAGGTTGTCCAGTAGGTATGTCTTGGTATCACATGCTTCCTAAGGTGAGAAGTTTATCATGCTTTGTTTGAAAAAGCTCTCTGTTTTTTTTTATTGCCTCATACTGCTTTTGTTTTATACTAATCTTAGGTGGTTCTACGAGGGGAATTAGAGGATGAGAATGTTGAACGGCTCGTAAAAGCCTGTCCATAGAATGTTTTTGACATTGAAAACATGGGCAATGGTAAAGTTTAAAGCCTTTTAAAGTATCTTCAAATCTTCTTATTTGCTTTTTGAGTAACAAAAGGAGTTTTCTGATGAAACTTGGCTGCACAAATTTGAATTCAATACTCACTTGTGGTTAAAACTAACAGGTAGGAAAAGGGCTACAGTAGCACAGTCCCATAATTGCACGATGTGTAAGGAATGCATAAGAGACCATGATTTGGTAGATCTGGTGGATCTGCGCACTGTCAAGGACCATTTTATATGTAAGTAGAGAGAAGAAGAAAAAACATTCTTTTTACTCGGCAAGATCTCTATTATTTGTTAGAATGGCTAATAGAGTTTGTTGTTTTATTTATGTTTTTCTCGGTTAAAATTGAGTTCACTGGATCACTGCCTCGGGATGTTCTTTTTACTGAAGCTGTGAAGATACTGGAAGATAAATGTGAACGTGCAATCGCTGATCTCTCCTCAAGAGAATTTATTAGGTTTAGCTCTACTGGCATGGTTCGGTTTAGTTCAATTTTGTGTTTTGTATCAACGTTTATCCTTATTAATACGAAGAACGTTGAATTTAAATTATACTTTGTAGTTTTGGTTCAATTTGAATTTCAATTATCTTTGTAGTTTGGGCCACGTGGGATCCAACCAACGCACTCTTCTAATTTATTTTGTTTTTTCTATACTAGATATATAATTCGTGCTACGCGCGAGTCTGTATTAATATTTTGGTTTATTTTTTTAGTTACTATCTTTAAAATTATTAAAAATTATATATATTTATAGAAATTTTCATTTATATAAGAGAATTTAATATATAATGTGTAATTTATCCTATTTTTATTTATAAAGTTTAAAAAATTATTAGGTAAAATAATAATAATGACACCTATCGAATTATCCAACATTGAGGTACATATACATTTGATTTAGAGAAATATAATCTTGCTAAGATTTTGGTATTATTTTCTGTTTTCCATAGAATTTCTATAGTTTTTTTTTCTTGAAGGTTTATGTGTTCAAATATTTAGTTTTTTATTGAAAGTCTTATTGATGTTGTGTACCACTGTATATATAATCCATGATTCATGTTGATTCACATTTAATTTTGTTAGGAAGCTGTAATGATAATACAAAACCATTTTTTCCTTCTCCATCATGTCTTCCAAGAGTTTTATGTTATATTTTTATTCAGTTTTCATTGTTTTAATTATTAAATCGAGTTGTTATAGATTTTTTTAAATTGAAAATTGATAACGATTAATTTTTTTATACATGTATTGTTAATTGTTAATTTTTTTATTTAGCTTCTAAATTTTTAAACCATATTAACAGTTTCTGATTTAATAAATATGTTGATTTGGATCAATCAAATTGAATTTACTTTTTTTGTTGGACATAATTTACTAAATTAACTTTTAATGTTTTAATTATACTTAATAATTTTTGGTTTGATTTAAAAGCTGATGTGGACCAATTAAATCAAGTTTTTCCGTTCTAATCATACTTAACATTTTTTAATTTAATGAATATGCTGATGTGGACCAATCAGATCGAGTTTTTTAATCTCATGTGGATGCCCTCAATGCACTATACCATCAACTTTTATATATTATATGATGTATGAAGAAAATTATCTGCAACAAGTGAAGAATGTTTTAAGAATCAAGATCAATTTTTTTTTTCCTATATGTGTGAAGAAAAAGGTCTGCACAAGAACTAACTGAAGAATGTTTTAAGTATCAAGTTTTATCTGTTACATCCAGCTATATCAAGAGAAAAAGTTAATAATTTAAGCATAGCGAAACTTATTACCGATTAGAGTGGATCTCTCTAAAAAAAAATACTGCTACAAGAGCTAACCGAGAAACGTTTTAAGAAATCAAGTTTTGTTTGTGACATTTAGCTATATCAAGAGAAACTTATTATCAGGAAGACGTATATAATTAAATAAGGCAAGAGAGTGTAATGATAGGGTCATTTATCCATAGGCTGGTGTCAAGTGTCAAGTGTCAAGTGTCAACCCTACCTTGAAACACAAGAAAAGCATTGTCACTGGGGTGGCCGGAGCTGTGTCCACTGAATTGTATGATATTGTCAACCACAACCTCATTTTCGAGGAGATGGACAAAAGGGAAACTAATGGTGAGCGAAGATGGACACACCATAGTGATCAAGAACGACGTGGATTCAAAGTGGAATGAAGAGCTTTCAAAACCTCTGAACCTTGCAAAGAAGAAGATTGAAAGGATGTACTTCCTTGCGCATGGACTGATTCCTCTCCAGGGCTTCTCACTAATCACGACCTGTCACAACTACAATGACCAGTCAAAGAAACCATTCGCCGCCGTGGAGAGGCAGTTCTTGACTAGTGTGAGAAGTTGTTCTTCATTCTCCAGAGTTGGGCCTCGCACAGTCAAGCCCAAGTAAGAGTTACCGAAGAGGAGAATTGGCTTTAGGCCAGGAAATTGGTTGAAGCCCAAGAAGCAAGTTGACCGTTGATTGAGTGGATAAGTTGGCCGTTATAACAGCTCGCCGTCTTCTTTGATTGATCGATCTTCTTCTTCTTTGTTGTATCTCTTGATTTTTTCTCTGTAACAAATATAAGAGAGAGTTAGTGGATTCCAGGAATCATTCTGAAGAGAGACATACCCAGGTTTTGGAGAACTCTATAAAACCTTGAGCCTCTTTTCTTCTTACTAAACAAACACATGAGTGACGAGTGAGTGAGAGAGAGAGCGAGATAGAAAGCAATACCTGAGTCGGAGCTTGATCGGTGAAGTATCGGCTACAAGTGGTATCAGAGCGTGGTTATAGACGTTCGGAGATACTGAGACGATCAGATCGCAAGACTCGGAGCAACAAGAAGAATTGGAGTCCACAGGTTCAAGGAGAAGGTGATCGCGAAGCTTCACGGACCCTCAGTGAAGCAGATCTACACACCTGGAGACAAAGGAGCAATCACTGATCAGCAAACTCATGGAGTTTCATTGTTGTCTGATATACTCGTGTTTTACCTTTGTGAATCTTTTCAGAATCAACTTCTTAAAGTGATCTGTGTATCAAAGAAACGTGCGAGGATCAGAAATCTGTTGATTCGTTCTCCTCTGTTAATGTTGTTATCTGCAGATGACAGAACAAACAAGTAAGCGAGTCAAAGATGGAACCTACGCAAAGGAAGTTTGAGATGGAGAAGTTTGATGGAAAAGGTGACTTCAGGATGTGGAAGTACAGATTCCTCGGTCAGCTAGAGATTCAGGGGTTAGGATCAGTCTTGAAGGAGAAGGCGACTACATCAACGTTGCAAGTCTCAGAGGCAGTGTCACAGTTGGGTGGAGCAACACCAGGGACATGAGCATCAGGAGTTGTTACACCAGGAGATACGAGATCCGGCCTTGCATCAGTTGTGAGGGAGATGGGAATGGATCCTAAAGAGGAAGCCATGGATCTAAGAGTCAGAAATATGTTGGGAACTTGCCTCACTGACTCGATCCTCTGGAAGATAATGCATGAGCCAACTGCGATGGGAATGTGGAAAGCATCAGAAAGTGACTATCAAACAAAGTCTCTTCCTAATCGGATATACCTAAAGCAGAGCTTCGCTGGATTCAAAATGGATGAGAATCGTACTATCGAGGAAAACTATGATACATTTTTGAAGCTCAGTGCTGATCTTGTAAGCTTGAAGATCATCATAAGTGAGGAGGATCAAGCAATCCAGCTTCTGACCAGTCTTCCACCGCTGTATGAACCTCTGAAAAGGAAATGAATTAATTAGGGATCAAGAGACATAAAACAGAGTTATGCAACAATCTGTTTGATAATCTGTGCAAATAATTAGGGATCAAGAGACATAAAACTTGTCCCTATACTCCTCAACAAAACGGCATTTCAGAGAGGATGAACAGGATAATTATGAATAAGGTCAGAAGCATGTTAAGCGAGACGGGCTTAGGTGGAGAGTTTTGGGCAGAAGCAGCTCATACAGCAGTCTACATAATAAACCGGTCTCCGTCTGCATCTATTGAGTTCGAAGTTCCAGGGGCTCTATGGACAGGAAGTAAACCGGACTACAGTCATCTAAGGAGGTTCGGGTGTATGGCTAATGTTCATACGGTTCAAGATAAGATCAGTCCTAGAGCAATTAAAGGAATATTCTTGGGATATGCGCAAGGCACTAAGGGCTACAGAGTTTGGCCCCTAGATGATCAGAAGGTTACTGTGAGCAAAGATGTCATATTCCATGAAGACAGATTATTCAGAGACAAAGATGTAGACATGTCAACAGATGCGGGTACTGTAAAGGCTAAGAAGAGGGTTACCTTTAAGAAGGACTTAGAAGAGGTGGAGCCCTCTGAGCACACAGCAGAAGCATCTCCATGTCATGGTGGAGCTACGTCAGACCCTGAGACAGAACAAGAAAGCGAAGATGAGAGTTCATCGGATGAGGAATATGACGATCAAACAGGTCAGACAGATCATGATGAACAAGATATTCAGGATTTTGATGAGGATGGCGTACCTTTGAAGAGAAACAGTTTTGGTAGAAAGTTGAAGAAACCGGCAAGGTTCAGGGAAGGCAACTACATTGTGTATGCCCTTGCCAGTGCAGAAGCCATAGAACTCGACGATCTGAAGACCTTCGCTGAAGCTCGTAGAAGCCGAGAATGGAAGAAGTGGGATCAAGCTGCAAAAGATGAAATTGAGTCATTAAGAAAGAATCACACTTGGAACTTAGCAGATAAACCTAACCAAAAGGTTATCGGCTGCAAGTGGATATTCAAGCTAAAACCAGGAATCCCTGGAGTTGAAGAGCCTAGGTACAAGGCAAGACTAGTGGCCAAAGGATTTGCTCAGGTTGAGGGAATTGACTGCAACGAAGTGTTTGCGCCTGTGGTGAAGCACGTGTCAATCTGTATTCTTCTGTCAATGGTGGTTAATCATGATATGAAATTGGAGCAGATGGATGTTAAGACAGCCTTCCTACACGGTGTTCTACATGAGACTATCTACATGAATCAGCCAGAAGGTTTTGGGCAAAAGGGACAAGAAGAGAAAGTTTGTCTGTTGAAGAAATCTCTCTATGGGTTAAAGCAATCTCCTAGAGAGTGGAATCACAGGTTTCATCAGTTCATGGCTAAGCAGAAGTATAAGCGCAATAAGTTTGATCCATGCGTCTATCAGAAAGGTTCTACGATTGAAGACATGGTCTACTTACTCCTATATGTTGATGACATGCTATTGGCATCTAAGAGCGTGAAGGTGGTCCAGAATCTAAAGAAGCTCCCAAGTTCAGAGTTCGAGATGAAGGACCTAGGACCAGCGAGAAGGATTTTAGGTATGGATATCTTCAGAGATCATGAAAAGGGTGTTCTAGTTCTATCACAGGAAGAGTATATAAAGAAGGTTCTTAAGACATTTGGAATGTGGGATTGCAGAGAGGTGTCTACACCGATGGGGTCTCATTTCAAATTACAAGCCACTACAGAAGAACAGGAACAAGAACAAGCAAAGGAGATGGAGGACATACCTTACGCAAGTGCAGTGGGAAGCCTGATGTATGCAATGGTTGGCTCCAGACCGGTTCTTGCATATGATGTGGGTATGGTAAACAGATACATGGGAAGACCTGCG